AAGATTAAACAATTAAATCGACAGATGAAGGTGGTTTGCACGGTTTACACAAATGAGGGCGGTTTTCATATGATCACTCCTCTCTATATATATATATATATATATATATATATATATATATATAGTTTTTAATTCGTAATAACTTATTATATTAAAAACGATATTAATTATATCATTAAAATTGTTTTAATAGAATTTCAAATAAGTATAATATAAAATGGTAATAGGGGAAACCATAAGAAAACAGATTCCCTCACTTAACAATTATTTTTGGATAAATTTGTAAATTTTTAAGCTTCTTTTTCCTAATTATTTTTTTTTATTTTAAAGAATTTGTTGAAGATATTTTAAAAAATTTCAAAAAAAAAATATATTTAAATATTTGAGAATCTTCAAAAAATTATGTTTAATTCTTCATTTTTAATATTATATTATTAAAATAATAAATACTTTTTTCTTCTAAATATTTAATTTTTATTTTTAAAATATAATAAAAAATTATTTCTCTGTTATAGTAAATTATTTCTAAAAAGTGTCCAAATTTGAAAATTTTCATTACTATATCTCTCCTAATTTTTTTATTCCACATAAGTTTGGAAAATTTGTTGTTAATAAAATTTGTAATACTTTTAACATAAGAGACATCTTAAAATATATCAAGAGATTATTCTTTTAAATAATTTTTAAAAACTATATTATATTGATAACAAGTTAAATAAATAAATTGATGCATTTTGATAAAAAAAAAATTTGGAATTAATTGATATATTTTTGGAAACAAACGAAGGATGTAACATGCTTAGGAAAATTTTAATTTGGTTTATTTTCAAATAATTATATATTAATGTGGGAAAGACGTATTGTGCGGTAGTATAAGTATTTTGATTAATAATTTAAAGATTGTCAATATAAATATATGTTAGCTGTTAACAGAATCATCAACAAATAGCATTCAGATAATTCGAAAAAGTTGATAAAATATAATTAGTGAAATTTTAATATAAAAGTTGATAAAATATATATAGGGGTCTAATCAAATAAAAATTGTTTTATTTGTGGTAACCATGAGATCCAATGTAAACTATCTATTTGAGATATTTAAAGATATTTCTTAAAGAAGCTAAAAGGGTAATATAGTAATTCTATTTTTGACAATTAATCAAAATAATTTAATTAAATTTTTTAAAAGAAAATATTTAATTAAAATTAATTACCTAGTATACCAATTACCTAATATACACATCGTATTTTAAAGACGTTTGTGAATCAAAGTGTATCATAGTGATAACGTTCACAATGTTTCACATGTATCATAATGTATTTTCTTTGTTTTATGAAATGTATCATATTGTGCATTTTCGTTATTTTCATTGCTTTTCAAAGTGTATCACATTGTGCATCTTGTATGCATATCTGGTATCACAATGAATATCATTTGTTGGTATCGCAGTGTATATATTGTGTTCACATAAGGTTCGTCGGAATAAGATTCACCGGAGAGAAGAAAGTAGAGAGATGAAAAAAGATATTTATAAAATCCCTAAAATGCCCTTAATTAATATTTTAAGTTAACATTACAAAAGTTATTATTTTCTAATTTAACCTTCGATTTGTGGTTGAGATTTTTCACTTAAACCCTAAACTAATCAGTTATCTCTTGAATGTGCCCCTATATATATATATATATATATATATATTGAGAGAGAGATATTTGTTTAGGAATAAAGTTGTAAAATTAAATAAAATGAATAATAATAACGACGAGAATATTAAGGAATCTGACACACTCAATAATAAAAAATACTCCATATAAGGATATGTCTTCTTCAAATATTTCAACTTACATTGATGTGAGAAAATCAATTGAAAGAAGCAAAAAAGACCATATTGGAAAACTTAAAGTAGATGATGAATCAATCCTAAGGCATTGTAGAAATCTAACTTCAACTTTTCGTTTTCTTGCTTTCTTGTAAAAAAGAATCTATATGACTGTTTGGATTAACAACAAATTGAGCAATGAACACTTACACAACCAAAAGATAACTAATAAAAATCTTGGCATGAGAAAAAAAAATATCAAGAATATCAGGAAAAAATCAACCTAAAATATATTGTTTTAACACATATAAAGCAAGTAAATTAAAGAAAACCCAAAAGGTATTATACATAACTAACCTCAAAAAGCAGAATAGTTATTTAGTGGAGAGAGATGCGTAAGTGTCTTGTATGTCAATAATAATGAACATCGAGGGTTGCAATTGATGTCAACAATCATGACTTTCTTTTATATGCAAAATGGAGAGAGCCAACATGTTAAACCCCATAATTCATAAAGTGAAAAAGTAATGAAAGACAATAAGTGATGAAGAACCAGAAGATCGATGAAGACATCAAGGCAGAATTGGCTAAATCTGGAGAACAACCAGAGGGCCGATGGACAACCAGGGATGCGATGGAAAGAGCAGCTTCATCGCCCCTCTAGTCAACAACACTTAGAGAATTATTCAGCAATTCATCCAGAGGCATACGTTGAAGATTTAAAGATAAGGATRATTCATCATACCATGGAAGACAGCTGGAGATGACAAGTCGACAGCTACACTTCAAGTTTATCTTAATATTAAAGCTTATCAATAGTTTATATAAACATTATATGTTAATAGAAGATTAACAAAAAAGTCTCAATAGATAGTTATCTTCTAATTAGCTTACTAGTATAAATAGGTGATTAGGCCTATTGTACTGAATGTCTCTTTTACGTTTTTCTTATTAATAAAGTGAAACCTTTG